ATTTTCTGTGCAGGACACCAATGTGGCTGCAGGAAAAAGTGAGCAGAAGTTCATAATGCAGTTGTTATTGCAAGAAATGACATAGCAACACTGAGAGTTGGTAAGTAGAGAGAGACAGAGCCAAGTTTCAGTGTACATGGGGGTTGGAGACATTAAAGGTATCCTAAAGAGAATAAACCCAATATTTTATAGTAAAAAATAGCACAGTAGATTGTATTGGCAAATGGGAAGAAAGGGAAATCAGTTTAGAGCAGTGTGTTAACTGAAAAGGCAGCAGTGGAAGGGCCAGGAAAAGAGCTTCTGATGCATGAGAGATTAGGTTTGAGAGATGTGCTTTAGAGATAGAGATGGTAGGATTATTTGGTCACAAACTGGATCCAAGGAACAAGCTCAAGGAATTGTCTCCAGACTATGGACTAAGAAAAGAGATCATCTAAGAAGTTACACTAGGCGTGTAGCACTGGAAGAGGTGAATCAGCAGTCAGGGAGATTTAGCTCATTATTCAAATGAGTAGGGGCAAATGTAAAGGTGGTGCTTACATAGGGACACTGTGTCTTCTCAGGCTGCATAAATATGCATAGAACACTCTCCAGCCACCTCCTCAGTGCACCTTGAAATAAGCAGTGTAATTTAAAAGGCGTGTGGTTCCAACAAGGTAATGCTGAAGCTAAATCTGCAGTGACAAGTAATCTGGTGAGATGTGCGCTGCAGAATGTTAGTCAGAGCTACTCACGGGGCCAGAACGGCAACATGGTGCTCTTGACTTTATTTTGAGATGCAGTAAGTGTCAGCAGATCTACTGATGTCACTTGACCGACCTTGCAGGAAAATAAAGGTAACAAAAAACCCTAGGCAGTAGGGAGGGAATTCCCAATTACAGATTCCAACACACAGGTCAAAAGCTATTAGGAATTTTCTCTCTGATCTACCAAAATTAAAAGACTAATCTCCTTGTGCGTAGTAGGGAGTATATTGACATATACAGAATGAAACCTGTAAACAACAGAGGAATTAGCCTTCCTATACAGGAGATGATTAAATTGGGGGGCGGGGAGGGGGAGAAAAAAAAAAAAAGAAAAAAAGGAAGCAATTCTATGAGAATAGTCATTGGAAGGAGAATACATCTTATTCAGCCTAATTTCTCACTCAGACTTCAAAAGGATACATAGACCACCACTAATCTGCCAGAAAAAAAACCAAAAAATCACTGTTTCTTACCAAAGCTGAAACTTTTGACTGTATGTTGCTTGCTGAGGTGCCGTATGAGATATATATATATATATATATAAAGCTTAAAATCACCTGAAAGCAGCTTAAAGACCATCTTCATCAGATGTATGTATGACTAGCCTGTGTTTGAGCAAAGCCCCTTGAGAGCCGCAACTTGAGCTCGTGGCAGCTTTGAGAGGGAGCTATTCACTGCCATCTAATGGCAAACTGGAAGAAGAGAAAAATTAGACTATGGTCTTCACCCCGCTGGAATATTTTGGTTGTAATTACAGTTTGATATGATTAAAGTACGACTAATGAATATTAACTCAGTTTTTGCCTTTTTGGTCATTAAAAAATGCCCTTAATGACCCAAGTTGGGAGTTGCCAAGACCTCGCATAACTGGAGTACAAATCTTAAATACAAGGTAGGTTTAGATTGGATATTAGGAAAAACTTCTTCACAGAAAGGGTTGTCAAGCATTGGAACAGGCTGCCCAGGGAAGTGGTGGAGTAGCCATCCCTGGAGGTATTTAAAAGCCGGGTAGACGTGGTGCTGAGGGACATGGTTTAGTGGTGGTTTTGGCAGTGTTAGGTTGATGGCTGGACTTGATGATCTTAAAGGTCCCTTCCAACCTAGACAATTCTATGATTCTAAGTGCTTTCATGGCTCTTCTTACTCTGTGGCATGGAGGGAATATGACAACAAGGAGACCTGTGTGACGCTGAAGTTCCTCTACAGTCCAGGGCTGAATGAATCCTAACAAAAACCTTGGTAAGGATCTGCTTTTGTGACTGAGACACAATAGTAACATGATGTACCTTCTAACTAGTACAACTAGAACAGTCACCCATGTAGCTCGACTAGGAAATGAAGCAAGCATGACAGAGGTGATGTCACTGTTTGGAGCTGCGCAATGATGAGATAAATCAGATGCGTGGTGCCTGTTAATGACATCCAAGTTATGTTTCCTCTATGGCTGGAGAGGGACCTGTTTGAGTGCCACACTATTAACCTTCTGCAAACTGTAAGGCCTGCAGGAAAGGATACTGAACGATGAACTGATTACTTTCTGGTTTTGTTAGATGCCACTATATTACCATATTTGAAGTATATAAGAGACAGAGTGGCTTTAGGCACATTCTTCACCTTGCCTTTCAACATGAAGATGCAATAAAGATGTATAACACCAGACTAACCTAGGAAGGCACTAGTATTTACAACTTTGTTTACTAAGATTAAGTTATCTTCACTCTCAGCCAAGTTAGAGCATGACTTTAAGCCTGTGTGAGACAATTCAAACTCTAAGATCTCTGGAAAAAATGGGGTGTATGGAAAACTAGGTTGGGAGGGGTGGTTGTTGGGTTTTGTGTGGGGAATTTTCTCCCATATAAGAGGTATCATTTCTGCCCAGGGAATTCCCCCTGTTCAGACATTGATTTCTGTTCTGACTCACTATGTGCCACTATGAATGCAAGCAAGTTACTCTTACCGACTGTTTTTTTTTTTCCCCTCAATAAGGATGTATTTTAAGACACGTGGGGGGAAAGTGCTAAAAAGCTAACAGGTATATTCCTAAATTAAATTGGTCAGAATCTCACAGAACTGAGCACTGGAATGTTCAGAATACCTAAAGACATTAAGCTGTTTGCAGCTTCCTTCCTGGTAAGGTTTCTAAGGAGGGGAAATAGCTTTGCCAAGGAATTGCTCCATTACAAAATATCCCTGACATAAAAACCTCAGGGTTTATGACAAAGTTTATACAGGTGTAAAATTAAACAATCACTTATAACACCCGTGCTAATTGCACAGCTGCTGTGCAGTGGTTGCTCCACGGTTGTATCACTTGATGCATTTGCTGATAACTTCCCAAGGGAAGATTGGTCTGTCAGGGGAGGTGATGGGTGTTTTAAAGCAGAACTTCAAAGCTGAGGAGTTCTTCCGTCAGCTGAAATTACTCTGAACCTCGTACGGCCATTTACATCAGGGCCAGAAGCTGCTGATCTGATGGAGCTGTGTTTTGTAGGGATATAGAGAATTTCCCCACTGCTGAGCGGAGTGTTCAGCAGCAGCGAGAGAGGGACGGCTCGTGCATGAGAGAGAGAAAGCTGGGGGAAGACAGGAGGGACGGACCTCTCCTGGCTTCTGAGCTACAAAAAGAAGGGATTATGGATCACCCCCAATAGTGGAGACGTGGAGTGGAAGAGGGAGGCATGATGTGAAGGAAAGTAACAAAGACAGGGGAAACCCAGGTCACAAAGGGATTTGGATTAGATTGCCATCGTGGCCAAGACATTCAAATTAACCTGTGGTCAGGAAACTTCAGCATCAGCTGGTGACGTTCCCCCAGGTGAGAGGTTTCCCCTGTTCTCTGGTTTGGGCGGGGAGCTGAAAAGGCAGGTTGACCCTTGGTGCTGCCCTCCGGGAGGCTCGGTCCCATTGAAACCCTCCAAGGAGCATTGCAGAGGGAAGGCGGTGGGGGTGTGGAAATCCAAACCGTGTGAGAAGCACTGACATGATTCCACCCCCCTCCCCCCGCAGCTCTCCGACTGTGCGAACCGGAGAGCGGCATTGACGGTGGGGGAGGGCCAACCCGGCCCGGCGGGGACTCGCCGGTGCGCCG